ATTTATAAAAATAAATGATTTTAGATATAACTTTTTTTAAAAAATTTTTAACATTTTATTTTTGTTAAAGATGCCATTTTATATCGAATCTGATGGGCAAATTAGAAGTCACTAGTTTGTCTAGGACTACCACTAATGACAATATAAAGATGTTTATGATTGACTTATTTTTTTAATTATATGACAGATTTAAGTGACAACAAGTACTTCCAGTTCCAGGTGATATACGTGATATAGATGAACCCTAATTAATTTAACATATTTGACGATTTATTTATATTTATTTACTTAGAATTAACACCTATATATAAAAAAATTTCAAAAATCTAAAAATAAAACGTGAAAGGATAATAGATACCCCGTATGTTTTTCATAAACTTAAATTTTCATTTTTTTAAATTTCGCATTAATTAAAAACAAAATGATTTTTTTCTTAAATATTAATTTTTACCTTATAAATATATGTAAAGAATAAAATTACGTTAAAACATTTTAGAAAAATTGCTTTGTCCATTTTTTATAGCACTTCAATTTTTTATGGACAAATTTTTCCCGAGTATGACCAAGAATATTAACATTGGGGTTACGAGTACAAATATATTTATTTTCAAAATTTGATTATAATAAAAAATATATACAATAATAAAAAATGAATACTTTCAATCTAAAGAACCCATATATCGATATTTTGTTATGATAAATTATTCCTGACCCCCCCCCCCAAAACCTAGAGCCGCCCTCTATCAGTGATTATTATTATTACAATAAAAAAATATTTAATTATCAACTTGTTCATTAAATCGTTACACGACACGACCTCGGGTCTGAACCCCGGATCTGAACCCCGAGTCTGGACCCTGTGTCTGGACCTAGGGTCGGCCTGAGCACATAAAAGGATCGTAAATTTTACAAGCAAATTAAGAACACTAGACTCAAGTTCAGAGAACTATTCGTTTTCTAGTCGACAACTATATATTTTGTATTCACAACTCAAGTTGGAGGTCTAAATTAAAAAGTAAATAACAACAAATATCTTAAATAATAATATCTAATTTGAAATATTCGTCCTCTAATCGACGACTCAAGTTTATAGAAATATTCGTCCTCTAGTCGACTTAACTAACTATATAATTATATTCACGAGTCACGACTCAAGTTGGAAGTCGAAAGTAGTAAAATACAAAAACTATCAAAATTAATAATAGATCTGAAATATTCGTCCTCTAGTCGACGACTCAAGTTCATAGAAATATTCGTCCTCTAGTCGACTCAACTATATAATTTGTATTCCTAAATCAAGTTGGATGTCTAAAGTAAAAAAATGTAAATAACAGAACAAATATCTTAAATAATAATTAATTAGAAGTTCATCCTCTAGTCGACTCAAATTAACGACTCAAAAGTTCAAAGAACTATTCGTCCTCTAGTCGACAACTATATATTTTGTATTCACGACACAGGTTGGAAGTCTTAAAATGTAAATAACAGAACAAATAGCTTAAATAATAATATCTATTTTGAAATATTCGTCCTCTAGTCGACTCACGTTCATAGAACTATTGATTAGTCGACACAACTATATAATTTATATTAACGACTCATGAAAGTCTAAAGTAAAAAACAAAAAATATCTTAATTAATAATACCAAATTTCAAATATTCGTCCTCTAGTCGACTCAAGTTCATAGAACTATTGATCCTCTAGTCGACACAACTATATAATTTATATTAACGACTCATGAAAGTCTAAAGTAAAAAATGTAAAAAACAAAAAATATCTTAAATAATAAAAACTAATTTGAAATATTCGTCCTCTAGTCGACTCAAGTTCATAGAACTATTGGTCCACTAGTCGACAGAACTATAAAAGTTATAATAACTTAACGAGTCATGAAGGTCTAAAGTAGGAAATGTAAAATACAAAAAATATCTTAATTAATAATACCAAATTTCAAATATTCGTCCTCTAGTCGACTCAAGTAGACGGCTTAAGTTAATAAAAATATTCATCCTCTAGTCGACTCATTTATATAATTCTTTTCAGTTTTCACAATTCAAATTAGAAGTCTAAAGTAAAAAAATGTAAAAAACAGAACAAATATTTTAAATAAATAATGATTAATTTGAAATATTCGTCCTCTAGTAGACTTAAATTGACGACTCAAGTTCAGAGAACTATTCGTCCTCTAGTCGACAACTATCAGAGTTGTTAAAAGATACTTTTTAAATGGATCTAGATACAGATACAGATACATAGTCTCAAAAGTTATCTAGATACAGATACAGCGTCTAAAAAGTTATCAAGATACAGATACAATTTTTAAATGTATCTGTATACAGATACATTTTTTTATGCTCTTATAGGTTTGCATAAACCTAAATTAATATTATATTGTGAAAATTCATGAAATGAGCTAAAAATTTATTGACGCGATATAACATTTATCAGAATATAACCAAAATTATAATTTTAATATAATATATGAAAATATATGATTAAATAATTATTAGATTTCAGTAATAAAATATTTTCAAAATTTTGATCATTTAGGCATCCTCGTTTATCTGTGAAGACATTTTTAGCAACACTAAATAGTCTTTCCACAGGGGCGCTTGAAGGAATTGTAGTGTTATATTTAATAAATAACAATTTTATATCAGTTCTTTAAAAATGCTAAAATCTCTACATTTATTTTTGAAAAAGTTATTTAAAATTTGTTGATTATCAAAATTTAAATCATTATTAGAAATTATATCTGCTGTAGGCTACTGAAAAAAATCTGAAATTAAATTATTTGTTTTTTTGGCAGGTTATTTGCTTGCAGTCAGTTGATGACTTTGATAATTCACCAGCTAATCTTTGTATCAATTGTTTTCTTTTATAATTGGCTGCATGCCATCTATAATAAAAGCAATAATTAAATCATCTAAAGTGCCTTGAGTTAAAGTCAAAGGTCTTTTAGCAAAAATATTATTGGAGGATGAGCCTTGCCAATATTTTCTTTAGTATTTTATTTTCCTTCCCCTTTTTTATTTTTGTTAACAAGGTTGGATATTTTCTCTTAAAATTTTAATTAGAATTTTAAATATATAATATCTATACCCTTATGTGCTTCATGATATTGCACGTTGAAGTCATACTGACGGATATTTTTGTATTTTTAGGTAGACACGGCAAACCTTTTACCATCAGAGAATTAATTGTTTTCTTTGTTTTGAGATATTATTTTAAAATATGCTCAATTTGGCCATGGTAAAGCAATAGAACTTGTTGCTTCCTCTTCTTCATCGATATAGATCTAAATAAATATATAAACTTAAAAATTTAGTTATAAAATAAAATTTACCATTTCCATATTGTAATATTAAAATTTGTATAGTTTATTGATAAACTCGGACATAATATTTAAATTAATGAATATTTATATATAAGTTTTAATATTTTATGTATATATAATTCTTTATTATAGTATTAATAAATATTAATATATAATATATATATTTATTTATTTCATAAGCTCATATGAAATAAAATAAATTTTACAGTCAAATATTTTTATTTACAATAAAAAAAGGGGTATATAAAATGTATCTTAAAAAGTATCTAAAAACAGATACAGATACCTCTAAAAAATATCTAGATACAGATACCTTTCTAAAAAATCTATCTTGATACAGATACAGATACTACATTTTTATATCTAGATACAGTATCTAGATACTTGTATCTAGATACTTTAACAACTCTGACAACTATATATTTTGTATTCACAACTCAAGTTGGAGGTCTAAAGTAAAAAGTAAATAACAACAAATATCTTAAATAATAATAACTAATTTCAAATATTCGTCCTCTAGTCGACTCAAGTTCATAGATCTATTGGTCCTCTAGCCGACACAACTATATAATTTATAATAACTTAACGAGTCATAAAGGTCTAAAGTAGGAAATGTAAAATACAAAAAATATCTTAATTAATAATACCAAATTTGAAATATTCGTCCTCTAGTTGACGACTCAAGTTCATAGAAATATTCGTCCTCTAGTCGACTCAACTATATAATTATATTCACGAGTCACGACTCAAGTTGGAAGTCGAAAATAGTAAAATATAAAAACTATATTAATGAATAATAAATAATAATAGATCTGAAATATTCGTCCTCTAGTCGACGACTAAAGTTCATAAAATATTCGTCCTCTAGTCGACGACTCAAGTTCATAAAATATTCGTCCTCTAGTCGACGACTCAAGTCCATAAAATATTCGTCCTCTAGTCTATTAGAGGACGAATATTTTATGAATTTGAGTTGATGACTTGAGTCGACTTGAGTTCATGACTTGAGTCGACTTGAGTTCATGACTCGAGTCGACTTGAGTTCATGACCTGAGTTTATAACTCAAGTCAGTTTGGGTCGATTTTTTTGACCCAAAACTTGACTCAGTTTTCGACTCAGTCGATTAACAACACTACTATTCACTTTGAGATGAACCAATAGTCATTGTACCATCTGATACTTTCTATACAAAATAATAATTAATGCTCATAATTTTTTTTATAATTAACCTAAATATGTATGTTCTTAAAATATATGAAAGTGTTAAATTTTTTTAAAAATAGATTACAATTAAGTTTCATTAATAGTGAATGACTTCTTTATGACTTAAATAAATTTTTTTGTGGAAATAAATAATATTAACTGTTTCTCAACAATAGATATGACTGTTATCAAATTCTTTGATAAATAACAGATATACAATAAATGGATCGAAATCAACAATAAACTAAATTGAATAAACAATAATATATTTTTAAGATATCATTCTAATTGATAGTAGAAAAAAGTATATGAAATTTTTTTATGTATAAAAACTTGAATAAAATAAATATATTGAGTACATATAAGGCTAGAAATCAATATCAACTATTTTTACAAAATAAAATATTACTATAAAGATTATTTTTATTTCATGTAAGAAAAATTAATAACTTGCCTTATAAAAAATCAATTTTGTTTGCAACATTGTTGCAGTGGATGATATTTCATCCATAACAATTTTTTGAATCACTTCCAATAAAATGAGATAAGTGGTAAAAATATTTTTTATTTATATAAAGAATTTTGTCATGATTCTCCTGGCTATTTGTTAATTCATAGCTAATGCATCTTTCTATAATTTTAAAAATTTTAATTATTTTATATATTGAATAAAAGAATACCAAAGTAACTAATAAAATTATAGACAATTATAAATGATATAATACCTAAGAAAACAATTACCGTCCCCTAGAATCTGTGTGATCTTCTTGGGTTCACCAAATTAAGATGATGTTACTTATAATATATTTTTGTCACACTCAAACCTAACACCTCAGAAAATTTTTCCATTCTCATTATGCTGGCTGAAAACATAAAACTTTTCTCAAAGATATAAAAATATAAAGATAAAATATTACTTGATGAAATTAAAATTTTTATTAAGAAATAGGGGACGTGACTAAAATATGTTTCCCTGAAAACTACGCATTCCCTATTATAGAAGCGGAAAATTAATATAGATTGTATTTGGCTTAACAAGTTGATATAGAATATGTTTATTTTAACTCAAAAAAAAACTGGTAAATTAGTAAAATATTAAAAAATATTTATTTTTCATGAATAAAATACACATCTCTTACCACTCGATAATTATGCGCTATTTTTAAAAATGAATGCAGAATCATTTTTAACTCTTTAAAAGGATCAGAAAATATTAATATAAATTAAAAATAAAATTTTGTACTTTAGTTGGATATCATTATTTTTGAATACGCATCCCCTATGCTCTAATTTAAAAAGATAAATACAGAATCATGTTTAGCTTAGGGATTAGAACATGTTTATATTAATAAAAAAAAAATTTTCAAATAGCAAAATTTTTTTGAACTAAACATAGCACCCCCCGACTATAGAAGCACCTTATTTAATAAATTATTATAAAATCGTGCTTAGCTTATTGAGATGATATAAATGTTATTTTTAATTTAAAAAAACTGGTATATTGGTAAAATATCAAAAAACAATTTTTTTGGATAACTAAAATGCGCATTCATGGCAAATCCTACCCATCCTCGATGATTGTGTGCTATTTTTAAAAAATGAATGTAGAATCATGTTTAGCTCTTTGTAAGGAATCAAAAATGTTAATATTCATTTTTAATAAGTTTGCAAAATTAGCAGGATATTGAAAAAACACTTATATTTTTTTTGCCTAAACCACGAATCCCTAAGCATTCCTATTAAAAAGGCTCTAATTAATAAATAAATATAGTATAATGTTTAATTTTTCAAGGTGATTCAGAATATGTAAATATTAATTAAAAAAAATTTTTTTTGAATATCCAAATTCTTTTTGTCTAAACTATGTATTCTTATATATTCCGTATTATAGAAGCGCAAATTTAATAAAATAATTATAGAATCGTGTTTAGCTTAATGAGATGATATAGAATATGTTATTTTTTATTTTAAAAAATTCTGGTAAATTAGTGAAATATAAAAATAACACTGGGTGATCAAAATACGCATTTCCGACAGACCCTATGCATTCTCGATAATTATAAGATATTTTAAAAATATGAAGAATCATGTTATGCTTTTGAAAATAGTGGTTTCATAAAGAAATTAATATTAATTTAAAATAATTGTTAACTTAGTGGGATATTGAAAAAAACACATTTTTAATAAACTACGTAATTACAGGTGAATAATTTTAAAGTGATCTGGGAAATGTTAGATTAGAATAAATGTGTAATTATATCAAAACTTGAAAAAAAACATTGGTAGAAAATAAACATAGATTCAATAAATTTATTGCATTTCGCTTAATTTATAAGAATCCAGAACTCAGGGATAATAAAAAATATTGAAATTTTTGTTTTACTTACAAAAATAACATTGATTGTTTAGTACTATTCAAAAACGAATCGAATATTCTCGTTAGAATAATTCTTTTATTTAACTAATTAGTTACATTCATAATTTGATCCAATATATGAATAATATAAGCGAATATTTGAATTATTCGAATAATAAATATATTTTTTAATAAAAATCATTTCTATAGAAAGCCTAATGGGTCGTGTGATTAACAAGGTAAACATAAATTACTCGTGAAAGGCCTTTCTTAGTTGGAACTGTCATAAATCTCATATTTTAAAAAAAAACATTGAGAAAAACTTTTATAAAATAAAATATGCATTAATTTAGATATTAACTGAAAACATATTCTTTATCATCAGATTATTATAATAATTTTTTTATTTAAAATTAGATTTGCAACAAAAAATATTAAAAATTCTGTCAATAATTTTCATATGAACTATTTTATTAGTGAATATTTTTATTCATTAGGATATGAATAGTAAATTATTCGATTCATTTAAGTGAATAAAATACTGGGAATAAACTGTTCGAATCGTATTCGTTTTTGAATAAGCCTACCACATGGTGTTTCTATTTGATACCAGTAATAATTAATATGCATAATATTTTTAATATATAAATATAACCCATGGTTCTTCTTCCTTTTTGAGAATAAATATTATGATATAAAGGCATATAAAAATTTATTTTCAAATATCACGAGTTTTTATGTGAAACGAATATAAGAATAGTGGGTGTATGTAGTGTTGTTAATTGGTTGGTTGTGTAAAACCCAGACCCGGGGTTTGGGTCTAAATAATCGACCAAACCAGCTCTGAGCACGAACCCTGAGCATAGACCCGGGGTTCAGACCCGCCTATGAATTACACCTGGGGCTCGGATAAATGAAAAGTAAAAAAAAAAATTTCATTTTCTAATCTTAAATTAAATCTTATTCTTATCTTATTCATTTTAATAAAGCTTTTTTTATTCTCATTTTCTTAACATTTTTGGGGACTTTCTTTTGATCAAAAATTTTTATGGTAAAATAAAAATATAAGTAAATATTCAAAAAAAGTAACCCATGCATGACGGAAAAAAAATAAAAAAGTAAAATTTTATTTTAACACATATTGATATTGTAATTAAATGTGGACCAATATAAAAATTCAACGTCATTCATGCATGTATAAATAATAAAAAGAAATGTAAATTTATAATTTGTGATGAAATAATGGCCAATAAAAAGTTTTTCTTTATTATATTAAAGTTATATTCCCAATATTATATATGTCATAATTTTTAAAGGGATGTCAACTATCCAGGATCACCACGGGTTTTAAAGGTATAACTAATAAATTTGGGTTTTAAGTAGGTGTGTACCGATATCACTTTTTGGATATCCGATCCGATATTCCCGATATTAAATTGATATCGACCGATTACCGATCCGATATCATATCTAATTTTTATGTCATTTATTTAAATATATTATAATGATCAGTTATAGTTTATATTCAATTCTATTGCAATTATAAAAGTATATAAAATATTTTTATAGTAATAAGTAACATTAATCTATATATATAATAAATAATAAACAAATATATTATGAAATTTGAATAAATATTTAAAACAATATTTAACATTAATAAATCGAAGATTTCTTATTAGAAATACCAAAATTTACTTATTTATCAGAAATCAGTTTACGTTTACGGCGATGTTAACTGTCAAGTCAATATCACCAAATTCACTAAAAACAGATTTTTAAGAGATTCTCGCACACTTTTATAAACAGAATGGGCAAAAAAAAATAACAATGAATGTTAAAAAAATATGTTGACGATTTTATCAAAAATAAAACCCCTTCAGATATAAAAATTTTTATTGCAAAAATAAAATAAAATTTACTGTTAATTGTTATTTTTTAAAAACTTCCTGTAATTTAACTTATATTTTTCAAAGCGTTCTTCAAACCAAATAACAAAACAAGATCGATATATAATTGAGGCAATTACTAGTTTTTTGATTAATATATTTCACAGCCTCTTTAACTCACATACGATATGATATATCGAAAAGGAAATTCGATCTATTTCATACATATCTTTGAAGTTTGAAAAACTAATTTAATAGATAATTAGTAATTAGTAATTATCTGATTTCATTTTTATATTTTATTTTCTGTTTCAGTTTTAATATGGTTATTATAATTATATTATACATAATAAGAAAAGCGATGACAATGATGATGATATTTACGAATACGAATAAAATTTTTGAAATTTTTTTGAAAAACTTCCTTTTCTTCCGAAATCTAAAATAATGGAAATTAATTTTCATCAATTAATTATAACTGTTTCCATCGAGAATGTTGACGGAAATATTTTTAAATAGATCTAAATTAATCAATTTTATGTTGAATTTTTTATGTAAAATAAAAATATTTTATTATATTTATAGAAATGAGAGACGCTAAGCCACTCGTTAATATCAATCACATTTTTATTTTAGATTTTAAAATCATGTAGAAATATATAATTTACTTTTTTTATCACATAAAAAAATAAGGGATTTTATTAAAAAAATTAGCTACAGATACTTAATTTTATTATTAAAAACCCGAAAATAAAAATTATATTTTAATTAAATATATTAATAAATATTCATACTCTAGTTGATGAAATTAAATAAATCCGGTCAGAAAGTTCGTATCTAATTCTGAACTAAGATCAGTGGTATAGAAATAATCTATAAGCAAACCTACATAATAATTCATTTTAATTATTTCCAAGCCCTAAGTAAGTGGCCCCGATTAAAATTTTTTTAGTCATAAGCTGAGTTGCTTGCAGGATTTTCCTATTTAAGTTCGATATTATTGATAAATAATTTTTAATTAAAACAACATTATTTATGGGGTTCGAGTTAATGCTGGCTTATTTCTTATATAAATATTGCTAATGTAGATCACAGTGATTTTATTAGACCCAAACCTCGGGTTTGGGATTTACACAACCAACCAATTAAACAACACTACCCATATCGATATTTTGTGTTAATAAAAATATACCTGACCCCCCAAGACCTATACCCACCTTGTATGAGTGATCATTATTATTATTACAAAAAAATATTTTTATTTCCATATCAAAAAATATTATTTTTCACACCCCCCCCCCTCCCACCCCCCTCCAAAACCAAGTCATACCCATCAAGATAATAAAATGAATACTTTCAATCTAAAGATATTTAGATTATATTTTACCCATATATCGATATTTTGTTTTGATAAATTATTCCTGACCCCCCCCCCCCCCCCCAAGACCTTAGACCCGCCCTCTATCAGTGATTATTATTATTACAATAAAAAAAGATTTAATTATCAACTTGTTTATTAAATCGTTACACGACACGACCCCGGGTCTGCCTGAGCACATAAAAGGGTCGTAAATTTTACGACCAAGCAAATTAACAACACTAATTGTATGATTATCAGCGTCTACATGACAGGATTTTCACTGGATGAAAACCCCCTTCAAAAAACTTTGCCTACCCTCTAAAAAATTCTACCGCCTTCGGCGGCAGTGTCTGTCTATTATTATTTTCACCTTTTTAATTTATTGATACTCTTTTCAGAGAATTTATCTAGGATAACTTAAATTAATCTATCTCTACTAACTATCGATATTTTGTGAATATACAGAATTTATTTTTTAGATAATAAATTCAATTAAAACCTCCATTATTTACAATGAATTAATTATTATGGCATTATGAGCTTACTGAAATATCTAAACATTTTAAATTACATTTAAAAGGATAGCAGAAAGTTTTATTTGGAAAACAATGTGTATGATTGTTTGCAATATATAGATTTTGTCGATGAATTGTATTATAATAATTCTATAATAAAAGTATTAATTTTTACAGCAATAAATTTTGTCCTGTTTCATCAAAATTTAATAGATAACCCCCAAAAAAATTTATCCTACCCCCCATTAAAGCAGCCTACCCCCTACCCTCCTCAAAAAAATAGGATGCAAACCGTTCCTACCCCTCCCGCTCATGTAGACGCTGTGTTTTTTACTAACGTGATATTTAGTTTTCACAGTACACATTCTATTAATGTAGGGTGTATTGGAGTTTTCTAAAAATCATTAATAAACTGTTTTGTAATGTTAGTAATATTTTTGACGCTTTATTATCAAAGATTTGAATCTATTATTTTATTTAATTATTTTAGATGTCATTCTTATGAAATCAATATTATTGAAAGAAATAACTTAACATTTATAAAACTACACAGGCTTGTTAATCAATCCTTTAAAAAGGCTCGAATCTCTATCACGATCTTTTCAAAAAAGGGATCGAAATTCATGATCGACCTTTTTTTTAAAAAAATCTTATAAATTTCTGAAGAAAATTTATTCTCCATACAAAACTAATATAAAATAAATTAAATATAGTATATATTTATTGTAATAGAATAATATAAAAATATAGTCTATATTTATTGTAATAGAATAATATAAAAATATTAATATATTTATTTATAATCATAATTAGCCTTTAAATAATGAAAGAATTTATAAATTATAATCATTACTAAGAACATATTTAGTATTACTAAACAAGCGCTCCACAAGAGCGCTTGATAGGAGATGTTATGTATTTTTAGTTATATAAGTAAAAAAAATAAAATAGCAATTAAATCATCATTTGAATGAAATTTTTTTTTAAGGGAATGCGCATTTGCTAAGAATTTTTCCTAAAGAAAGTATCAGTTTTTTCTTTACAATCATTTGAATAAGCATCTGAATGTAGTTAATTCTGTAGGTTTTTCAAATGGGTAATGAACTTCTTAGCAGATTTGGTAGATTGATTGAGGCCAACTTTAATTATGGGTAATTATCTCACAAAGTGAAAGAAATCTATATATATATTTTCTTTTTAGCCACCTTATTTCTGGTGGTAAGTTCCTTCAATATCTCCCTCCCTTTATGTTATTCATACTATCTCTTTCATCTAAGTTATATTTCTTCATATTGGCTCTAATTTTATGAGTTCATATGAAGAAATGTTTATTAGACAAGTATCCTAGTACCCGGCTGTCCAAGCATGTCGGTGACTGGGGTGGCATTTTTAAGCTCATAAATTTATCCTATCATATATCTTTACACATCAGTCATCGAAAAAAAACCTGGGAAATTTTACAGTTCTTTATCAGGATTGAGCCTGGTACCTTCTGCTTCCGATAAACTCACTAGGCCACCCCGGCGATAAGAAAATTTATATTTTAAGAATTGAGAGCTGAGGATAGGCTAGATTTCTCATTTCTATTTGTCATCTTTCCTTCTAGATCTTAATAGACATTATTAAATATAAATAATTTATTTTATTTATAATTCAATAAATAAAACTTTAAGCTGTATGAGAAAAATATATTATGATTGAGGATGCTAAAATATGATGGTGATTATATTTTTTTGAAATTTAATTTTTTGAAATTTTATTTATATACATATTAAGGAAAAATTTTTTTAAAAATGAATCGAAGGGTCGAAAATAAAGTGATGGCGATCACGTTAAATTTAAGAGAAAATCATAAATCCGGTAAATTCTTAAAATCAGAATCGAATGCAGGATCGTCGATCTTCTGATCTCGATCCTTTCTCTCTAGCTACATTGCAATATTAATAATTTTAATGAAAATAACATAATATAGAATTTTATATAAGAAAATATTATCATTTTTAATTTATATTAAATTATTCACTTTTGTAAAATGCAATTATTAATATAGATTGCTTTAGACTATATTGATTGCTTTCCTTATATATTAACTGCATTATTATTTCAAAATATTAATTAATAAATAAAATTTTATTTTCTTCAAATTTAATTTTTAAAATTATTTAATTGTGTCTTCTATTAAATATTATCCAATGTAAATATAATATTAAAATTAGGTTTCGATTAAGGGCAAGTTTTTATTAGTGTCCAGTTGAGTGTTTAAAAAATTTTTTTTTCCTGTATGCGTAACCTAAGGGAATGAATTGTTATATTTTATGCTGTGTAATTTATGGTAAGGTTAGTCGAAGCACAATACTAGATGATTAGATATTTTTTAGATTCTCCCAAATTGCGCGGTTCAGGTGAAGTCCTAAAACAATGATATATATAACATATCATTGTCCTAATACCAACATCGTGAACCGTATTGATAAGCCCATGACTATACTACTAAGGGAATGGTTAGTTATATATCAGATAAGGATAAATATTCATTTTTATTAGGCAACATTAAATTTCGTAGAATCTAAAAGATAGTTAAGTGTGAATACTATAAATAAACTCAAGTAATTTCGACAAAATGTCAATTGTCTCATTTTAAGGGCAGTATTTTCAAAATGTCTTATGATAAGGATAATTATTTTGATGAACCATATCGTTCATCGGAACTTAAAGTGAATTCTCTATGTCCTTTTAATGCCGAACCAAAATCCCAATATCTGATATCATCATTTCTATCATCAAATGATTTGTTTTATGTTCGTAACCATGCACCAGTTCCTCATATAGATATTAAATCGTATAGGTAAATAAACTTTAAATAAATTCAGTTTAATATAAAAGTTTGAAGAGTTAACAAATATTTATTTTAAAATAATTCAATTATATTTTAGCAAAGAGTCAAACGTTTAAAATCAGGTAAAATTTAATTAAATAGTACATAAAAATCATGTGAATGTGGAAAATGCCTTTACTAGGTCATCAAAGTTAGACTTTTAGGGGGAACCAAATTTTAATTATCCAATGGAATTAAGATACAAACATGGTCCCATTATATTATGAATGTTCATTTATGTTGATTATTTTATAAAGTATCGGAAAATATCAGTGTCAGTATGAAAAAATACCAGTGACAGATCTCATATTCCACTTCCTGCTTATTCCTCTTTTTTTAAAATATAAATTCCAATTCTGAGAAATCAGTTTTGATTCTAAATGTACATACTTAGGTATCATATAACCAATATTATATAATATTTGATAAGAAATTTAATCAATTTTTAGAGAATTCAGAAGAATACAAATATACTCCTATACAATTGTTTTATAGGACTGCCAATTCATTTAATTTTCACTAATCTGATTATTCAACATTTCCCTATATTTATATAAAACTGATCATATTTAAATTGATTTTTTAATATTTATTTTTCTATAAAAAAAAATTATTTTTATGAAATAATTTAACTTTAAACTACATGTAAAACAAGAAGCACTTTAAAAATTTTCAGTTATCATGGCCAAGCCATTGATAAAGTGTATTATGTTATTCTTCCCAAAAATTTAATTATCATTTAAAATAATAATAATATTTATGGCTGATTGTGGCTTGTTAGATATTTTTAAATCTTTTCTTATTGCAAAATGTAAAAAGAATATATTATATAGCAACTTTTTATTATTTAATCATTCAAATTTAAAAAAATTAATTTTGGTTCCTTTTATTCTTTTTTTATTATTAGGAAATTACGTAGAAAAAAAATATTTAATAATAAAATTTTAAACAATGTGGTAAAGTAACCTTAATAAAGTAATGCATAGTGATTGATACAAAAATACTCCATTTTTGCTGATTTAAAAATAGCTCACTCAATATAAAAATATTGGTTAGGCCTTAAGATTCTAATAAACATCCAATGTTTATGCCATCTTTATGCAAAATCTTCAGGCTTGTATAATATTTTTCTGGAATGAATGCTGTAACCGTTTTTAAAAAATGGAGCAATTTTGCACCACTAGTAATGTTACTCAAGGTGGGCCTGGGCCTAATTTTTTTAGCACAAAAGAATTTAAGGCCTTTCACACTTGCTGCTAAAAATATTTTGACCTGACCTGCCTGCTCATGAAAGAAAATATTTTGATCATGCCCGTCACCACCAAAAAATAATGTTTTTTAATTTTTTCTAAATTTCTCAAAACTTTATTGCTACTTTTATGCATTTTTGAATTTATTCTATCATAATTTTTTATTTCTTTAATTCCATATTAATAAACAAAATTTTTACTATTTACAAATCAAAATTTTTATTTAAAAATGAAAGAATATATTTTTTATTTAATTGTGTTCATCTTTCCTTTAATCAGTGATTGGCTATAGAAAAAATGATCTTTCACTGGAAGCCAAACTTGTGGGCTAGTAACACTTTACTAACAAATTTTCTCAATAATAAAATGAATTTTCCTGCTTCTAAAATAAAAAATTTATATTATTTGTATTATGATTAGGAATGATGAATCTTTTAAACTCATTCTAACAACTTTCATTGGTAGATGTTGTTTCCTTATTAGAACCAGAATAATCTAGAAATTCACTGAATGTTTCATTTAGAATGTTGTTTTTTTGATATGTGCAGGATTAGAAAAGTTAAAAATGATAGTTGGCATTGTTTTATGCATATTATTGAATTTTAAATCATTTAGCATTTTTAAAGTTGTTTATATATCTGCCTTTTCATCCTCTGTTAAAATCTTAAGACTTTTAAAATTTGGATTTAGTATTAAGCCTACCTTATGTACTGGCAGCATAATATAGCTTTCCATTAAAAGCAATACTGTCCTGTTAATTATTGTTTTAACTATTACTGTATCATCATCTGAAGATTGGCAAAATTTCATTAATTTTTGTTTCCATAAATGAACTTCACTTATAGTAGGATGAGAATCTATGCTCAGATTATCTTAAAAATATATAACTGGTGTATGATATTCATATCAATGGTTGCTTATCTATTTAATTCTTGTTTGTTAAGCAGGTAAACCTGTATTTCATCATATGATTTTAAGAAAATTTGTATTATGACATATACATAGTTCTATCTCGTTATTTTATCGTACTTAATGAAATGGCTTAGCTTGCTGTATACTGCAGATGCTTTATATATTGCACTATCGTTTTTACACCATTTATACTTAATGCTCTTTTAGGTAAATAATTACCAAAAATATAATGGATTATGTTATTTAATCTATGGCATGAGCATGGTATCCTTTTATCATTGAATGCAGGGCCGTGCAGACGGAAGAGGCAAGCAGGGCAGAAGCCCCAGTCCACTGAAATTAGACAATTTTAGAGACCGAATTTTGTTAAAAATAAAATTTTTTGTATACACTATATACAAGGCATTATTCTTTTCTTGTAAAGAATTCATTTATGAATTTTGGAAAAAGGTTTGGTATGTCTACCCAAAGTATTATAACAAAAAATTTGATTTGTATTTTAGTGAAAAAAATCCATTTATTTTTAGTTAAGAAAGATTTTTTTTAAATGAAATTTTCTATTTGCCAAGAAACAAGTTATCGGTAAGTAAAAAAATACAATAAATTTATTTTAAAAAACGATTTCTATTATGACTATTTTAAATATTTAATCCATTTTCTCGTAAAGGTCCTGTTTATATAGTTGTATTTGTTATGAGACACTTTTTTGATATTCCGATATGTCTATTTTCAAATAAAAAATTTACACCTATCATGCAAAGGGTCATGAATACTCAACATATGTCTGCACCAATGGGAACTAAAAAATTGTCAAAGATCAAACGATTGATAAAGATCATGAACAACGAATAGAGGATAACAAAAAGAGATGGTTTGCAGTTTTGGATAGAATCATCGCAATCATTCACTTTTTAGGCCAAAGATATTTAACTTTTTGAGAAAGCATTGGAAAATACAACCATCAAAAATGGAAATTTTTGATGGTTAATCGATTTATTATCAATATTATTTTTTGACCTCATTGGTTGAATTAAGAATAATTAAATTCATAATCATTACTTTGGAGATCGAATTTAAAATAAAATTATAAACTTGATAGTTATATGAGATGAACTTAACAACTCAGTAAATAAATGAGCTAGTTGTTGGTTCTCTAAAAGTCGATTCCAGTGGCTATGTCTTGGTAGAAGCATTTTTATCATTATCTTAAAAATTAGGATTCGAGGTAATAAATTGTCGGGGAGAAGGTTACAATAATGGATCAAATGCGAGAAGATGTTATAAAGGGGTTCAAGCTCGATCAAACATATTGGAGAGCATATTTTATGCATTATGGGAGCTACAGCTTAAATCTCCTACTTAATGATATGGCATTATCATCATTAGTCACTAAATCATTTATTTGGCGTTGTCCAACGAATCTATATTCTCTCGAATCAGCGATGGCAGATTTTTAAGGAAATATTTTACCTTAAAACCGTTATCAGAAACGTGATGGGAGTGTAAAGGCCATTAGATTCCAGGTTGGTGATATTTACGATGCACTAATAGACGCATCCGAAAAACGAATGACCCCAGATGCTGCCCAGTAGTCATTTCATTGGCTAAAGAATTAAAACAGTTCCCATTTTTGGTAACTCTTATTATCTGCTTTGATATAGTAACCCAGGTGAATTTAGTAAGTAAAGTTATGCAAAGTGACAATATTGAATTAGAAAGGTCATTATATAGAAGATATGCAAGATTTTTTCTATTTAAGGAAAACGGCTTTCTTAATTTTCTTGACTCAGCGAAAGAGCTTGCACAGGAATGGAAATGAATATAGAAAAGCAGTGCTTTCCAAGATTTTCTTATGAAGAAGATGACAAGGCTACATGATCCTTAAAAATATGAGATCGAATTTTTCAATGTATTACTAGATCAAGCGAGAAATTTGTTGGAGGAACGTTCCCAGCAGTTAAGGTTCTTTAAAAATCATTGTCTTATTCAATATATAAAAAATAATAAATGCTCCTGAAAGAGAACGAAAGGAAAAATGTTTTTAATTAAATATTTTATTAAGAGATTATAAGGATTATTTTAACCATTCCAATTACAGTGGCATCCGCAGTACGCAGCTTCTCAAAGCTCAATTAAAATTTACATTCCATCCTATATGGCACATGACCGACTTGTTAATTTTTAATTTCAATAGAAAATGATATCGCCTTATCGTTAGGTTATACTGACATGATATCCTCTTTTACAAATAAAAAGGCAAGTAGGATAAATAGAATGATATTTAGTTTATGATTATATTCATTTTTTAATGTGCGTTACTCATTATGATTAAAATTTAATATAATAAAGTATATATGTTTTTAGTTCTCACTGCGAAATTTTATCGAAGCTTAAGTAAATTGTATTTTAAGGGGCCGCTAAATTAATTTTTGCCCTGAGCCATCAAAAGTCTTGGCACAGCACCGGCCCGACTCTGATTTCTTTAAAAAAAAATTTAATTTTCGGACTCGGCCCAGATTATTTTAAAATATATTATATTTATTTTTATGGCTAATAATGTCGATTTAAAATGTTCTAAAATATATGGCCCAGCCTGGGTATTTTTTTTTATAAAAATTTTCAGACCCGGCACGGGTATTTAAAAAAAAATTCAGCTCTGGCCCGGGTATATTAAAAAAAATTAAAAGGACTATTGTAACGTGTTATTTTTACTCTGTAAAAAAAATATACTCACATATATAGGGATATTGACATTTATGACGGACGCGTATAGATTAAATATTATATTTTAACTGATTTTTAAATATA